CATGAATTTAGCTTTGGTTGGATGTACTCTCATGACTTTAGCTTTGGTTGGATGTACTCTCATGAATTTAGCTTTGGTTGGATGTACTCTCATGACTTTAGCTTTGGATGGATGTACTATCATGAATATAACTTTGGTTGGATGTACTCTCGTGAATTTAGCTTTGGTTGGATGTACTCTCATGACTTTAGCTTTGGTTGGATGTACTCTCATGAATGTAACTTTGGTTGGATGTACTCTCGTGAATTTAGCTTTGGTTGGATGTACTCTCACAGATTTAGCTTTGGTTGGATGTACTGTCATGAATTTAGCTTTGGTTGGACGTACTCTCATGAATTTAGCTTTTGGTTGGATGTACTCTCACAGATTTAGCTTTGGTTGGATGTACTGTCATGAAGTAAGCACTGCTGGGGTGTACTCTCGTAAAGTAAGCATTGGTTTGGTGTACTCTCATGCCGTTTAAATGTATGTAAACGCTTACAACGAACGTCACTTATTTGCTCCCTTTTGGCCTGTTGAATATTCCATTGAATTTATTTTGTCATTTCTGCTTGATAAGTACAAAACAATCTGTTGATCCTGCTAGAAATCTTTTGGCAATAACTTCCTGTGCTCTCTGCCTGTGCTGCACACTTATCTCTTATCATTGCTTACAGCTCTCTCTGTGGACTACAAAACACGTCCCCCTCTGTTACAGAGATGATGAGAGGAGGCAGTGTTCTGTAGTCTCAACACACTTACCTCCTAGGGTGAAAAATACTGCTCCTCCATAGATACAGTACAGTGAGCGAGCATTTGATAAAGGATAAAAATCCTGGCAAAAAAGGAAACTAATGCAGCCACCGCATCTGAGGACTGGTAATCTGCAATTTATTACAATTTTGTTTTGGGGGTTTCCAGCGAGCTCGCATGCAGTTACTGTTGGTTCTCTGTACTGGTATGCAGCGATGGCTCGGCTGATGAGCTTGCGCTCTCTGGTGGGCTATCAGTTTGTCTTCCGGCTCCCTTGGTAGTTGCCCATCTTCATTCAGCCCCCCAGCTGCAATCTGCTCTCACTCAGCCATGACATTACAACGAAAGGAAGAATCATCCGAGGATTAAACCGTCCATTGAGGCCCCCAGCTCCTGGCTTCTTCTGTGTTTTACTGGCTGGAAATGTAAAAGCTCAGCTCTATCTGACACATCAGCAGAAGAATCGCCGACCAAATCCATTATTAACCCCTCGCTGTGCTGCCTGTCCAAGGAGCGGAACATTTATAAAACTAAAGTATGGACAGTTTCCTTCTGAAGACAACAAGGGCGCCTACCAAGTGTAGCATGAGTGACACTCTTTTATTCAATTAGCAACTGACTTGATAAAAAGGAAGGATTGCTGATCGGTAAAACGCCGCTCTGTAGTAGTAATGCCTGGTGGTGCGCTAATCTGCGATGTGACTCTCATGCAGCCTCTGGCTTGGTGGATGACCAGTGATCAGAAGTCCCAGAACCAGCTTGGAACACATGGAGGGCGCAGGCGTGGAAGAGAAGTCACACCTGGGAGGACCTGTGATCAAGGCGTGTGGCTACGCGTTTCGGAGCGTCTGAGTTCCTTTCTCAAGCCATTTATTCTACCCCTTCTGCACTATTATTCATTAAATTTTTTATCTCTTCTGAATATTCTTCCCATTGAGCAGCAACCAAAAAAGCCCAAAAACTGGGGGAAAGTTGTGACAGGACATACAGCACATAGACATTAACCACTTGCAGATGAGCGGCCAAACGACGTACCCGTACGTCGCTGCCGGTTTCCAGGTTCGGGTGCGTGCCTCCGCCCAACTACTTCTGCTGTGATTGAGCCTGTCAGCAAATCCTCATCATTGATTCACGCCCGGGACCTGCTGATTGGCTAGATTGTAAGCTCCAAGGAGCAGGGCCTCAATCCCCTCATGTTTTGCATTGTACTGGTATTGTTCTGTCACATGTTCTGTCCCCCTTTATAATGTACAGCGCTGAGCGAACTATCGACGCTTCATGAATACTGTATAATAATAATAATAATTGGCTGTGTCCAATCACAACCGAGAGCTCTGTGTTGACATTCAACACAGAGCTCTGTACAGAGAGAACGATCTCTCTGTTTCTCATCCCTGCAGAGCAGAGATAAGAAACTAAGAGATCATTGGTAAAGAGCAGCACACTTTCCACTTATTACACATAGTTAAGCACAGATCTAACCCCTTGACCACCTTAGATGTTAACCCCCTTCCCACCCAGTGATATTAGTACAGTGATAGTGTAAAATGTCACAGGTGATGTCAGTTAGTCAGTTTCCCCCCAGCGTCAGATTTCCCTCCGCACTACCGCAGTGTCCCGTTATAAGTCGCTGATCACCGCCATTAGTAGTATAAAAGAAAAATTCCAGTATACATAGTAGATGCTATAACTTTCACATAAAGCAATCCATATGCAATAATTGGGATTTTTTTTTTTATCAAAGACATTTAGCAGAATACAATTTGGCCAAAATTTATGAAGATTTTTTTATTGGATATGTAAAAAATGTTTTTTTTCACAAAATGTTTGATTTTTTCTTTTTTGTTTATATCGCAACAAAATAAAAAAAAAACAGTTTTTATTTATTTCAGGTACTTATATAGCGCCGTCAATTTATGCACTGCTTTACATATATATTGTACATTCACATCAGTCCCTAACCCTCAAGGGGCGTACAGTCTACGGTCCCTAACCCTCAAGGGGTGTACAATCTAAGGTCCCTAACCCTCAAGGGGCGTACAATCTAAGGTCCCTAACCCTCAAGGGGCATACAATCTAAGGTCCCTAACCCTCAAGGGGTGTACAGTCTAAGGTCCCTAACCCTCAAGGGGCATACAATCTAAGGTCCCTAACCCTGAAGGGGCGTACAATCTAAGGTCCCTAACCCTCAAGGGGCGTACAATCTAAGGTCCCTAACCCTCAAGGGGTGTACAATCTAAGGTCCCTAACCCTCAAGGGGCGTACAATCTAAGGTCCCTAACCCTCAAGGGGCGTACAATCTAAGGTCCCTAACCCTCAAGGGGCGTACAATCTAAGGTCCCTAACCCTCAAGGGGCGTACAATCTAAGGTCCCTAACCCTCAAGGGGCGTACAATCTAAGGTCCCTAACCCTCAAGGGGCGTACAATCTAAGGTCCCTAACCCTCAAGGGGTTGTACAATCTAAGGTCCCTAACTCACACTCATACTTACACATACTAGGGGCAATTTAGACAGGAGCCAATTCACCTACCAGCATGTCTTTGGAGTGTGGGAGGAAACCCACGTAGGCACAGGAAGAACATGCAAACTCCAGGCATGTGGTGCTGTGGTTGGGATTTGAACCAGTGACCCTAGTACTGCCAGGCAGAAGTGCTAACCACTTAGCCACTGTGCTGCCTGTAGAAGTGCTAACCACTTAGCCACTGTGCTGCCTGTAGAAGTGCTGACCACTTAGCCACTGTGCTGCATGTAGAAGTGCTAACCACTTAGCCACTGTGCTGCCCGTTGAGTTCAAATACCACCAAAGGAAAGATCTGTTTGTGTGAAAACAAATGATATAAATTTTGTTTGCGTACAGCGTTGCATGACCAAGAAATTACCAGTTAAAGTAGAGCAGTGCCGAACAGCTAAAAAATTACCTGGTCACGAAGGGGGTGGGGAGTAAAATCTTTCGGAGCTCAAGCGGTTCTATTCCAGCAGCACAAAAAGAAATGGTGCAGGCTCATCTCTGCAGGCTCCTGGAGTATTTATTCATGGGGAACCAGGAAGATTAGTGCTGGAATCTTGGGGTTATCCTTCAAGAATAGGAATATGTGGTGGTATTGGGGCGGGGACTGAATTCTGAGCTAGCAGTTTCTCCACACCAAAGGATATCCATTGGACGAGTGTAGAGACCATCATCGGCTGGTCAGGGATGGCTCTCCAACCAACTACTGATGGACTCTACACTCTTCCAGTCCATATACCAGACTTGGTTTTTCCAAGACCTCCAAGACAAAGCCTGGAGTGAAATCCCCAAAGTCCTAATTCACATCTTCTATCCAGCACACCTCATTCCTCTTTTCCAAGCTCTGGCAAAGGAGGCCTCCAAAACACAATAGACTCCTCCTTTATCCTATCTTCACCTTGCCTGAGATGAAGCCATTAGCCTGCTGCAGGCAGGAGGAAGCATTTCCTCAGTCTCCTCTCCCCCATGATCAGATTCAACATTGTAACTTTGTAGCAAGCAAGGCAAGAGGCTGCAGCAGGGGCTGATCTGTGTAAGGCCTCATGCACACTGGATGCATCAAGGTATGAATTCATTTAATTATTATTATTATTATACAGGATTTATGGCGCCAACAGTTTGCTCAGCGCTTTACAATATAACGGGAGACAATACAGCAACAATACAGTTCAATACAAGAGGGATAGGAGGGCCCTGATCCTGGGAGCCTACAATCTAAGAGGGAGGGGCTAGTGGTACAAAAGGTAGTAACTGTGGGGGATGGACTGGTAGGAAGAGTAGAAGATTCCATTATTAACTTAGGGCAGGATAGGCTTCCCTGAAGAGAGAGGTTTTCAGAGATCGCCTAAAAGTGATTCCAGAGGATGGGGGAAGCTCTGGAGAAGTCCTGGAGATGAGCATGGGAGGAGGAGACAAGGGAGCGAGAGAGCAGGAGTGGAGAGGACGGTTTGGGTGATATTTGGAGACAAGATTGGTGATGTAATTTGGGGCGGAGTTATAAATGGCTTTATATGTAATTGTTAATGTTTTGAATTGTATTCATTGGGCAATATGGAGGGATTGGCAGAGAGGGGTGGAGGACACTGAGTGGAGGCCAGTGGAGGGATTGGCAGAGAGGGATGGAGGACACTGAGTGGAGGTCAGTGGAGGGTTGGCAGAGAGGGATGGAGGACACTGAATGGAGACCAGTGGAGGGATTGGCAGAGAGGGATGGAGGACACTGAGTGGAGGTCAGTGGAGGGATTGGCAGAGAGGGGTGGAGGACACTGAGTGGAGGTCAGTGGAGGGATTGGCAGAGAGGGGTGGAGGACACTGAATGGAGGCCAGTGGAGAGATTGGCAGAGAGGGATGGAGGACACTGAGTGGAGGTCAGTGGAGGGTTGGCAGAGAGGGATGGAGGACACTGAATGGAGACCAGTGGAGGGATTGGCAGAGAGGGGTGGAGGACACTGAGTGGAGGTCAGTGGAGGGATTGGCAGAGAGGGGTGGAGGACACTGAGTGGAGGTCAGTGGAGGGATTGGCAGAGAGGGGTGGAGGACACTGAATGGAGGCCAGTGGAGGGATTGGCAGAGAGGGGTGGAGGACACTGAGTGGAGGTCAGTGGAGGGTTGGCAGAGAGGGATGGAGGACACTGAGTGGAGGGATTGGCAGAGAGGGGTGGAGGACACTGAGTGGAGGGATTGGCAGAGAGGGGTAGAGGACACTGAGTGGAGGTCAGTGGAGGGTTGGCAGAGAGGGGTGGAGGACACTGAGTGGAGGGATTGGCAGAGAGGGGTGGAGGACACTGAGTGGAGGCCAGTGGAGGGATTGGCAGAGAGGGATGGAGGACACTGAGTGGAGGCCAGTGGAGGGATTTGCAGAGAGGGGTGGCAGTTAGTAAGGTGGATGAGTCTGGCAGCAGCATACATGATAGACTGAAGAGGGGATAGCCTGCGATGAGGTCGGCCAATGAGGAGGGAGTTACAATAGTCAAGATGATGAGATAAATAAACGGCCGGACGCTGGCAGTGCAGGGGCTGGTGGCCATTTACAAAAGGCCTCCCCGCTCCTTGCTTGTGCACGCTCCCTGGGAGTGAGCAGCACCGTGATCCGGTGCCCGCTGTGTCTTCCGGACACAGTGGAACACCGATCGTCGTACGGGACCTCTGTGTGCGGTCCCGATCATGTGATCCCTGATTGGCCAATCAGTGATCACATGAATAGTAGTAAGTAAGGTGGCACTTCAGACATCATTGCTTACTACGTGTGAAATCTGTGAATGATCATAGAGATCACATGGTACAGGGCCATTCACAACAGTTTGTTCCATGTGACAAGCTGTGACCAATCACAGCTCTCACAGTATTTCTCAATGGCTGCAAGAATGCAGCCAGAGAGAAGGGGAAATGATTGCGGTGCGGTATACCCTTTGGGTGGAGCTCCGCCTAAACTCGAATGTCAAAAGCAAAGGACAATTTTCGAACAACATTCGTCCATTCACTGAACGTTCAAAGAATATTTGTACGACTTTTAGTACAAATATTCTCATACGAAAATTTACAGGTGTATGGGCCAGCTTAAGAAATAGACGGTGACCCTGGGTGATGCCTGAACAAAGGTGGCTCCATCCTTCTGGATAAGAAAATCAGGTGAAGGCGTTGTCAGGGGGGGAGGACTGTGATGTCAATGAGAGGTAATAAATCCCGGAGGTGTTACATTTATACATTTCCACGCGTTTGATATGAAACAACGTATCCGGCATTAGATTCACTTTAAATATAGACATCTGTAGATGGTCATACATCTTCCCTGTATGAAGGATATCGGTGATTCGGGTAATAATCCCCCATCCTAGTACTCAGGAAGTGTCTCCTAATTGGACGCCGCGTTCACGCATTGCGTGTTTCTATATCATTTTGTGCCCTGGGGATGTAATATCCACCGTCCCCTCAATAATCACATTATAGATTACCGCCTAGGATGGCAATAACCCCTCGCCGTGAAAACGACCTCCCTTCCATCATTAGTATTTATTGTCATGGCTTCCATGGCAGACGGGCGCGAGCTCCTAGAATTATTATCTACACTTGCGCCGTCAAAAAATTCGCCCCGCGATCTTCCAAGATGAGAATTTAATTGCATCGCCACGAGTGCCAGCCACGCCGCGCTGCTGCCTGGTGTGCGCTTATTGGATCACGTGACCCGGCTCCCAGCGTCGTTCCTGCGCTCGCCGCATACAGCAGCTGTTTAAAATATGTTTTCTCAGTGTGCCCCCCCCCCCCCCGTCTCCTGTCGTCCGCGGACTTCATTAACAAGATTTAGCTTCCAAACTAAAAATGTTAGCGGTTCAAAGTGCGGCGATAACAATGCGCCCACCGCGACGCTGCTGGGGGGACTGTAATGGGCGGCGGTTCCAAAAATGGGCTTTCATGGGCATCTCATCCGAATAAAATAAATGGTAAGCAAAGTATGGAAATTGAAAAGAGTGGGGGCCGGCTGACACTGTAGAAACACCGTCCAGATGTGTTCCGGATGCGTTTTTGCATGCGTGTTTTTGTCGTGTTTTTGGCATGTTCCAGTGCGTTTTTGATGCTTTTTTTTATGCGTTCCAGTGCGGTTTTTTTATGCATTCCAATTTCCATATTTCTTCAATTCAAATAGGAACATGTGTGTTCCAGTGCATTTTTGGTGCGTTCCGGTGTATTTTTGGTGCGTTCCGGTGCATTTTTTTTCTTATGCATTCCAATTCCATTTCTCTTCAATTTAAATAGGGACAGGTGCATTCCAGTGCATTTTTGGTGCATTTTTGGTGCGTTCCGGTGCTTTTTTGTCTTATGCATTCCAATTCCATTTTTCTTCAATTTAAATAGGGACAGGTGCGTTCCAGTGCATTTTTGGTGCGTTCCGGTGCCTTTTTTTTATGTGTTTTACCACGTTCCAATACAGTTCCGTACAGGAAAAATGCAGCCTGTTCTACTTCTTTCTCTGCAACCGGAACGCACTGAAACTGCAAGCAGTGATGTGAACTATGACATTGACAACCATATCACCTACTTTCTGTGCGTTTTGGATGCAGAAAAAAAAGCAACTGAAACGCATTTAGTCTAGTTTTTGAAGCATTTTTGCGTTAAAAAAGCGCATGAAGAGCTCCAGAAAAATGCTTTCCAATGTATGTGAATGTATATCTATGTATGTTTTCACACTGAGGCGCTGCTCTTGCGGTGCGGTGTAAAAACGTCTGCTTGCAGCATCTTTGGGACATGTTTGGTGAGCTAAAAAAAATGCCCCAAAAGGTCTCTTCCCATTGAAATCAATGGAAAACAAGTGCTTGAAAAACGCCTGAAAAGTGCCTCAAAAACACCTCTGAGAAGCATTTTTTGGTGCAGTTTTTTTAAGTCCCGTGTCCTTTAAAAATGCTCAGAGAGCGTTACAAAAGCGCGGTAAAAATACCTATGCATTTTTGCTGTGTTTTTGCGGCAAATCAGTGTGAAAGTAGCCTTACTCTCTCAATTCACGTCAAGCCCGACTTTGAAATCTTGCGAAAAAGTACAGATGTCTATGCAAATCGCACCAAAAGTAGTGCATGTACTACTTTTGAAATCGGTGCGGCTCCGACCAAGTCGACCAATATGGCCGCTCCAATTGCAGACAATAGGGTGCGACTTGGCATGCAATTTGCAAGTCACAGGGCATGCAAATCACATGCCAAGTCGCATCCAGTGGAAACTAGGGCTAACCCCCAGTTCACATTTATGCGGTTGTGCGGGCTGCGTTTTGCACGGGCATGAGAGCCCATTCATTTGAATGAACTCCCGTGCCCCGCAACACGCAGGAAAAGAAGTCCCTGCACTTCTTCCGAAAACGCAGCCAAGGTTCCCAGTACGGCTGCGTTTTCCAGTGTGGAAGGCGTGCCATTAGAACTAATGGTACCTGCCTTCGGGTTTGCATTCCTCTGTGTGGGTGGTGCGGCTGCACAGATTTTCATGTGGATCCGCAACCGCACACACTTGCACAGATGTGAACCTAGGGTTAGTTTGAACTGGCCGTAAAAGTACACTATATTGCCAAAAGTATTGGCCACTCCCCTCCATATCATATGATTCAGGAGTTCCAATCCCCTCCAAATCATGTGACTCAGGTGTTCCAATCCCCTCCATGGACACAGGTGTATACAATCCATCCCTTAGGCATGCAGACTGCTTCTACAAACATTGGTGAAAGAATGGGTCGCTCTCAGGAGCTCAGTGACTCCAAGAGTGGTCCCGTGATAGGTGGGCACCTGGGCAATAAGTCCATCCGTGACATTTCCTGGCTACTAAATATTCCACGCTCAACTGTTAGTGGGATTATAACAAAGTGGAAGCAACTGGGAACAACAGCCACTCAGCCACCAAGTGGTAGGCCACGTCACATGACAGGGCGGGGTCAGCGCATGCTGAAGCGCACAGTGCGCAGAAGTCACCAACTGTCTGCAGAGTCAATAGCTAAAGACCTCCAAACTTGGTGTGGCCTTCAGATGAGTCCAACAACAGTGCGTAGAGAGCTTCATGGAATGGGTTTCCATGGCCGAGCAGCTGCATCCAAGCCTTCCATCACCAAGTGCAATGCAAAGCGTCGGATGCCGTGGTGTAAAGCACACCGCCACTGGACGCTAGAGCAGTGGAGACGTGTTCTCTGGAGTGACCAATCATGCTTCTCTGTTTGGCAATCCGATGGACATGTCTGGGTTTGGCGGTTAGCAGGTGAGCGGTACTTGCCAATCGTAAAGTTTGGTGGAGGGGCGATTATGGTGTGGGGTTGTTTTTCAGGGGTTGGGCTTGGCCCCCTAGTTCCAGTGAAGGTAACTCTTAAGGCATCAGCGTGAGCATTGTGCTAAGTGTAAAGTTTGATGGAGGTCATTTCAATGTAGATTTATTGAACGGAGAGTTGTTGAGTGTAAGGTGTTCATCAGATCTATTGTTTTTGCTGCTTGCAGTGCCTACACCGAACCGTACAAAGTGTGCAACATTCCTATGGGCAACGCCGAGGACGTCACCTCCGACGAAGAGCAGAAAAGTTCTGAAGATGAGGAGAGCAGCTCAGGAGGAAACGGAGGCGTGCAAAAGGTAATTCAGTTTGGACTCATTATAAACATGTATTACATGACAAAGGATTCCCAAAGCATGATGGGTTAGCTAAAGCGACAGCCCTGCAGAGCAGCTTGCTTTACAGTTCCCTTTGTCTGATTGGAACTTCAGCTGTTTGATAAAGTGAGGAGCTGCGATGATTCAAGTTCTTTAACTCCTTGGCACCATCATATTTGCACACCCATTGTAAAAAGAAGATTTGCCGAGAGCGCGTGCCCTGGGCGCACCCGGCACATTTACCGTGCCTCAATGAAATCTCCTGATCCCTAATAGCCAATCACGGTGGTCATGTGACCGTAAACCCCACCCAGGGTCACAAACCCCTTAAAGGGCCGGGAGGTGCCGGCTCCAAGGGGTTAACCCGCGGGTCTTTACTGTTCTATTGCTGCAGAAAATCTAAAGACGATATTATTTTTTAAATATTTTAACCCGGCATGGAAATCACGGCAGGTATGAGCCAAATGTCTATATTAGGGAGGAGCTTCAGTTGGGTCTGCACCCTAAAGTCAGCTGCCATTGCTTGGCCAATGGGCAGCGGGCAGGAGATTCCCCACCCTCTGCTGCATGTATACAAAGGGGCGGGGTTAGAGCCCGTTTCTGGTTTTCATGGCTGAATGTGGGAGATTCCCCCTCTCTAAATGTCCGGGTGCTCTTCTTTATTTGATTGTCATTTACTGTACTGTCATGTTACATTTTTTTTTTTTTTCCTTTTTGACTGTTATTTTCTTTTTATTTATTATTAAATATAATTTTTATTCATTTTCAACATAAGTAAACAAAATATAACATCTCAAGTCCATTTGGACATAATATAATGAAAATCAAAAGAAAAAATATAAAAGAAAAAAAAAAAAGATCAAAAGGAAATAAATGAAGAAAATAGACATTCTTATATCCTGGCAGCAGTAAACTGAACAATGTTACTTCAGCACTT